CTCCACTTTATACTTTTTGAGTTTTAATATTTAGCATTTGCCTTGTAAATTGAAAGGAGTTTTAAATGGATGGTAGCTGAATTGGGGGTCCCAGATTGAGGGAGCTGGGTCTTTTCAGCCTGGAGACGAGGAGACTCGGAGGGGATCTTAGAGTGACTTACAGGTATGTGAAGGGGTGTCACAAGGTAGAGGGTCGTGACCTGCTCTCCCCTGTGGTGAAGGAAAGGACATGATCCCAGTTCAAGGAACTGGGTTTCAGGTGGGATGTCAGGAAGTACTTCCTGATGATTAGGTCCCCTAGGATGTGGAATGGGTTTCCATGGGAGCTGGTTGAGGGCCCCATCAGTGAGAGTGTTCAAGGAAAGACTGGATACCCACATGCTGGGTATTGTGTGAGCAGGGTCAGCTGAAGCCCGGAGTCAGACGAGATGGCCTGGGAGGCCCCTTCTGACTTGCTATGTTTCTATATGTAAAATTATTTGTAGGCTGCCTTTAAATGTGGAACTGTATTTTTTATTTTTTAAACAATGGCTTTTTGTTAGGCCCCTTGAAATCCTATGGGTAAAAGCAGAGTAGAAAGCCTTTGAAATTAATACAGAGATAAAGCCGTTGGCATAGGCTGCTTCTGGACATATAAATTGTACTGTCAAAACGTCTCACTCTATAACATTTCATGCTGAAATATATTGAATTGGCTCTCAGAAGTTGTACAAAAGCCAGGTTTGCCTTCTTGAGTGCATTGCAACAGGGTTCACTGTTCCTACAGAAGGAAAAACAGGATGGGCAACACATTTGATGGTCAGTTTCAGAGGACTGATGCAATCTGATTTATTTCTTGGGGTTTTGCAGAGGAGAGAGCTGGTGATCCAGCCAGTGTCCTCATCTCGCTGGGGATTGGTGAGATGTGGAGGGCAATGGACTGGATTGCACCCGTGTGTCTTCTCCTGTGCTACGGAGCCTGCTCTGCTGCTTGGGATGTTGGGGAGCTGCGGTCAATAGAACAAGTCAGAGGTCAGGTCGATTGCAGGTGGTGCAAGACCTGAAATGAAGATGACCGAGCAGGCTTTAAAGTGCACCACTGTGCCTCTCCTGTGGCTGTGTAGGGAGCAAAGAAGCTTTATTTTGCTACCTCTTTGCATCTTGAGTAGATGACCAGCAGAGCTCTTTCTGGTCACCAAGTTGCAGTTAACATCTTCCCCAGTGAGTGGGCCCCACCCCCCGAAAGACCTGCTGTGACCTTTTTGCATCGCACTTGGTCACAGTGCAGAATCACTCGTCTTTTCAACAAACCTGTTCACGTAGCTCTGGAGAAGGCAGCAGCTCTCTCATTTCGTGTCTCAGTCATGGTGGGCTGATGACAGGGACAAGGTGCGCACAGCAACATGGCCAACCATGTGCCCTCTCGATCTTTGCCCCTGCTTGCTGATAAACCCTTGCCAAAAGATACAACTGGTTGGATCCAGCGGGTGGCAAGCATACCTCTGCACGAAGGCTTGGTTCCTGCAGTTCTGAAGGAGGTAACAGTGTGACTGCTTCTCCGAATCCAATGGCACTGGACAGACACTGCCCCAACTGAAAATTCCCCTTCCTTAGGAAAAGTACTCAAGAAGGTTGTGGTGGAGCAAGTGCAGGATCTCCAAGAAGATCCTCATTATCTAGACCAGATTCTTGGAAGATACTCATTATGTGGGTGGCCTGGCCTGCTTCTGCATGTTCCCCTCATGCCTCATGAACTTTCCCAAGAGTGGAGCGTGAGCACCTCTCACTTTTGCACCTCATCCATGTGCACTCAATGGGACTGAGGAACTGTGATTCAAAAAGGGGCACTGTTCGTTTGTTTGCTTGAACTCTAAGCTGCCCCTTTAACCGTACGGCTCAGCAGCATTTGAGCTTTTGCTGTTGTCCTGCTGGAAGGAATGGCTGGGAAGGCTGCCTCCCGGCCAAGTCCATGTTGCTGAGCCTCTGTGCACTTGAAAATATGGCTCCAGTGAAACATGCTTTGCTGACCACAGCCATATACTGTCCCACCAGGGGATGGACCTTTCGATGCCATTTGCTGGTGATTTCACGAGGCCCTGGAAACTGGAATCTTATTTCCCAATTTTAGACCATCCTCCTCAGAGCATTTGGGGGAAATGACGCCACATGCTCAGAGCCCAGGATACTGGGGCTTCCACAAGGAGAAGTAGTGCTTGTTAGGTGGAAAGGCAGTAACTATGGCTGCAGAACAACCTTGCAAATGTCTCTGATCGTTCAATTCATAAGTGGGGTAGCTATTATGCTTAGGACCCTTCTGGAGAGCTTTTACAAGGTACTTAACTGTACATTGGTGACAAGCAGAAACAAATAAATGACATTAAGTGCTGATTTACAATAATTTGAATACTGGAGTGAACATTTCATCAATTCATACCAGTCATTTAGTTGCACATAAACATATTACAGCTCTTTTATAGCCTATGTAGGGACAGCTTAATAGGAATGCATTCCAGTGGATTTGCATTTCTTAATCCTGGTGCGGGCTTTGTCTCATGTTTCCATAGCAATGAGTGCATCTATATTCCAATCACGCTGACTTCTGGGCTTGCTGTCTCCATGAGGAGAGCAGAGCCAGATACTTAAATATATGTGAATTCTGGGGGATGATGTGGCATGGCGCATTCTGAAATAAAGAGGTGGATGAATTGGAGGATTATGTTTGAACAAGGATATTTCACCTTGGGGAGAGTTGGCTGTGTGCATTTCTCTAGAAGAGAGGCTTCTCATTACAAAATAAATTAACAGCAAGTTTGATGTATATGGGTTTATTGACATAGCTCTGAAAAACTACCATTTGTCTCACAGCCAGACTGTACTGTTTCTTGCAGATGAGAAATTAATGCTTTCTAAAAACAAACAAACACGTAAATAAAATACCCCGGGAAACCGAACTGCACCCTTTTGGCTTTAGTGTATTTCTCTTTTTAGTTGATGTAAGTGCTTTTTGTTCTAATATGTTTGACAACAAGGGAATGGTATTCACATATAAATGCATGTTTACAAGATTGAAAGACTGCGCCAGCCAGATTTGATGCTACCGCAATCTGTGTATTCATTGAAACAATGAATTCCGTACATCAAACCTTTGGAGTGAGGTAAATAAATTTGTAGTTTTGACCACCTGTAAATTTTCTATGCTGATCTATTTATACAGAGCTTAAGTAAATTTAAGTAAATTGTAGAACACTTCACATCTGACAAAGTTTATGTGTATGATAAACCTGCATACAATTCTGAGTAAATGAATGCTCGGTTACTTGTTTATTGGAAGTGGCCCGGCTCTGCTATTAATCTCTCTTCTGATAGGGCTTTCTTTCAAGGTGGCATTTCATCTTTATATGAGGTCCATATGAAGAATGGCTACATTTCATCCTAGCCCATCGATGTGAGCCAATTGAATGCCATTCTTCCACGTGTGGAAGTGGCATTCTCCTTCTTTTCTAGCCAATTTTAAGTTCACATTAAGCATCTGGAGTGTTGCGCCGGAGAGCATTGCATGTAAAAATATTCACCCACCATATGAAGCAACTTGGTGCACATTAATTGATCAACTTTAGGGCGATTGGATAGCTTTGTGCTCCATCCCTGTCCTTTCAGGAGCTGGCATAAATTTGCATTGTGATTTTCATCCCAGAACAGCATTCTTGTGGCAACATGCGTGCCCGTGAGTACGAATGGAAAAATATTGCAACTCCCACGTTAAAAAGATGCCCTGCTATATCGCTCACTGCGAGCAGAGGGCGCCACGGAACAACAAAAAACTCCCCACCGACATCGCTTAAAAAAACAAAAATTAAAATAGTTGCGTGCTAAACACGTGCAACCTTCGCTCTGTAAGAAGAATACAGTCGTTGCCCTCACACTATGGGAGTGGTGGGGGATCCAAGTCTGCAAAATGCCCGGAACCTTTATTGCACCTGGAAACAAGGCGCAAAGAGGCGCAAGGGGTGCGCGGGGAGGCGGGGCTCGTCCGCCGGACGGGCTGAGAAAGTCCTGGAGCGCGGCTCACAATCCTCCTCGCAGCCTTCCCGCCGCCGTTCCCAAGCATCCTTCCCGGTCATTCCCATTGCAGGCCAGCGCCGCCTCCGCGCTTCCCGGGTTGCACGCGGCTGGCTCGGTCCTCCGGCTCCACGCGTCCCCGAGCTGGCCCGTCCCGAGAGGGACGCTGCCCTGCCTTTCGCCTCGAAGCGCGGCTTCTCAGACACGCGTCCCAGCCGGGATGTAAAGGGAGCACCTCCCGCAGCACGTCCCAGCCCAAGCGCACCAGAGACCTCCGCGGGCGGGCTGCTGCTTGGCCCCGAGAGACGCGCTCTGGTCGTCCCGGCTGCGAGCTGCGGCCCCTTCGGAGGAGCCGGGGCGGTGCGGGCGCTCCTTGGCTGGCCTCTCGCTCTCGCTCGCCTTCCGATCCAGTGGCAGGACGTGCTGGCGGCAGGAGACGCGCGCAAGGAGCCGCGCAGATCAAAGAAGAAGACGCAGCCTCGAGCCTGTGAAAAGGAAGGGCGGTGGCGGGGAGGAGGCACCAGACCTCTCCCCGGGACGGGCAGATCTCTCGAGAGAGGAGAGCCTTCCCCGCCCCCCCAGCTGCCTCTGTTTTTCCCCGGTTTGCGCCGCCCGTGACCCCTGCACGTGGGGCGAGGGCTCGGCAGCTCGCAAGGTTGCTTAAGCACCTTCTCTCGCTAGACTCCTCTTGAAGCGGGCAAAACCTATATTTAAGACCTTGGCTCAGGACGCCCCCTAAGGGCGAGCGGGAGCATCCTTGGCGGGGGATGAGCGCGCGCGCGCGCGCGCGTGCGTGTTGGGAGGGTGGGCGCATAAGAAACCATTAAAAAAGCATGCCTCTCAGTTTTTGCGCGCGCGCGCACTCGTGTGTCCGTGTGTACGAGCGCGCGCGTGCACGTGTGGCTTTTGAACTGCCCACAGACTGTCACAGAGAAGCGAAGGGAGGGTGAGAAAGGGAGCGCGAGCCAGAGAAGCGCAGAGGCGGCGGCGGCGGCGGCAGCAGCAGCAGCAGCAGCAGCGGCGGCGGCGGCGGCGCCGGCGTCGCTCCAGTCAGCCACTCCACTCCACTCCACTCACTCCACTCCACTCCCGGCAGCCGAGCGAGGAGAGCTCTCCGGCGACTCCGTGGGCAACGGGACTAGCCGGGACTCGGGCTCTCTCTTGGTGGCCCCAGAGCGCACCCGCATCTGCACAGAGGGGGACCGAGGGGCGAAGGCAGAAGGTAGGCGCCGCCGCGTCGTGGCCCCCCGAGCCTCGGTGGGGACGGTTCCTCGCACCCCTTTCTCTCCCCTGCCCGCGCCCTGCAGCCCGGTCCGTTTCTGCGCGGGGGTCGCTCACCCTGCGAGGGTGGCTGGGGCCGGGGAGGAACGCCCCGTTTGAACAGCATCGCGCCTCGCCTGCAGCGGGAGAGGCGGGCGGGCGAGCGCGCCGAGGACTCGCAGCCCGTGCGGTCCTCGTGCCCCTCCGGAGAGCCGGAGGAGACGCGAGGGAGGCGCGCCGCGAAGCCCGCTCCCGCCCGGGGAGAGGCTGCGCGATGCGGAGCGTGTCGGGGAAATGCGGCTGGGGGCGCTGGGCGGTTTTCCCTCCGCAGCGCCCCATTTTCTGGGCTGGGGCTAGGTGGAGCTCGTTCCGGATTTCTTGGGCGAAATGACTGTCCGTGAGATGAAGAAATGCTTCCTATGGGGCGTGTGTGTGTGTGTGTGGGGGGGGGGTAAATACATCCACGGGCAGATCATGCAGAGGGGAGTGGGGGAGACGGAGAGGAGGACGAGTGTTCAGACGGACAACAGGCGAGGACAGCCTGAGCTTGGGGAGGAAGGATGGCTTTCCCGGGATTACCTGTGGAGCTCTTTGCAGAAAACTCCGAATACGTTGCATGCATATCGGGGCGAAGCCTGACAAATCAACCCCTCCGATTTTATTTTTAACAGAGGGCGGGAGAGGTAGGGTGGGCTGGGCTGGGCTGGGCTGGGACCGGGACCGGGACCGGGGGAGAGGAAGGATCCAGCCCTTGCCCATGGACGCCTGCCAGCTTTAGCCACGCTGTCGTGCAACAGCGTCGGCGCTGCCTGCTCAGGCGATCCTAGAGAAGAGAGCGTCTAGCCTCATGAGCAGCCGCAAGTGTGGCTTTAGACGAGGAAGAAAAGGACAGCAGTCGCGGAAACCTAAACCTAAATCTCTCGCCAGGGTTGAATGCAAATTAGGAATGCCCAGGGAAAAGCTGGGTGACAAGTTTGTTAAATAAAAGCCCACCAACGACTCGCAAAGACCTTTCGTATCTCCTGAGCTTCTATTCAGGTCCCCGTGGCTTCACCCCCCCCCCCCCGCCCCATCCCGAATATTCTCCAGAGCGTTTCTCAGCGCTCCCAGGCAAGGGTTCGGCACGGATCCTACAGTTGTGCTTCATCTCCACCCCTGCTGGGTATCCTCAGGATCACTACGCGCCTTTGAACGGGCTCCAGAAACGTAGCGCCACAGCCCTCCGTCCCTTTCTAGGATGCTTTAAAAGGCGCACACTCCTCCCCATCCACATCGCATAGCTGGGCACGAAAAACCTCCCGTCTGGGCTCTCTTTTGCGGTACTGCGGAGGAAATGAATGAAAGTCTCCTGTAATTACCTATTCCTTTGTCTTCTTCTCGCGCATGCGTGGAGAGCAGGGTGTGGAAGACGAGCGAGGCAAGGCACTCCATCATTAGACCGGCTCGTATCAGAATTGGGGGAACAAAGGCAGGCATCTTGAGATAATAATTATTCCGGGCTTGTGGAGGAAATCCATTTGCTGGTAGATCTGGCTTGTGTGAGCATGTCGTCAAATGCTGCCCTGGCTTTGGCGGCGCTGAGTCTCCGCATGGAATTTGTAGCCCTACTTGAATGAAATTGTGTGCAATAGGAAAATCCCCGTGCATTGTAGACTTGGTAAGATGCTCCGTTGCATCACAGCAGTGCCACGGCTGCTTTTGCTCTGTGGCAGACCCCCTCCTCACCCTGCCTCCTCAGCCTTTTAGATCAGGCACAAATAAGGATGGGGACATGAGCGGGGTGGGTGCAGGCTCTGAAACAGGTCCACGCGCCAGCATTTTGCAAAATGGTCTTCCATCACCAGTGCCGAGAATGAGGGCAACCATTTCACTCTTCCTCCTCTGGCTGACTAGGGTCTGCTGGGATGGCCATCTTGTCTGCAAACGTGCCGTGTGCCAGAGGAACAGTCCTAATTAGACAGATCCATTAGAAGAGGACAATTAGGCAACTTCAGTGTACCTAGCACAATTACATTTCCCTTTTAATGGCACTGAAGAGAGGCTATTGCTATAGGGGGCACTCCAGCTGCAAGCCACATTTCTCCACTTTCTCCTCTTGTGTAATTTCTGCCGTGATGTTTTGCTCAGGGCTGGGGAAATGAAAGGAGATACTCCAAATCCCCCATGTTTGGGTGGTCTGCTCTTGACATCTGGTTCGTGGTTTCTCTTCTTTCCACACATCTCTCCACTCATTTTGAAGAATGTGATTTCTCGAGATGCCCAGTGAATGCAGGCTGCCATTTTTCTGCACATCTGCCACTGTTGTGGCAGTTTGGCTCCTGCTGAAAATCTTGGCATCGCAGTAGGTTGTGTGTGTGTAGATAGTCTTTTTCAATTAACAGGGGTCAAGTTGGCAACATTTGCATGAGGAACGTTGCATAAATAGATATACAAAGGAATTCTACACCTCTTGGGTAGTTGGGATGGATGACTGTACCACATTTCTGTGTGTAGAGCGATGCATCACGCTATAAGAAAGGCCCATGCAAATGTTCATCCCCAGCCCAGCCTAATTCGGTTGGTCCAGGAAAGAATAGAAATGTGTTGATTGGATTGTTAAGCCTCACCCGGGTGTGGATTTATTCAAGAATTTGCCAAAAGAGCCAAGCTGTCACGCGTGAAGAGAAACACCACTTCTAGGCCCAATGAAAGACGGATGGAACTGGGCCAAGGAAATACCATCCCTTGGAATACTGATTGGTAATCTTTCTCCAGAGGCCTCAGGATCAGTCATTCCATAGTTTACTGCCTTGATCACAGGGGCATAATGAACCAGTGACAGAATTGTATCCCAAAGCTGTCAGATTTCAGCCTAGGGGAGGGAAAAGATTCTTCTCTCCACAGTGGGGCCAAATTTTCAGCAAACTGAAATACGTTTTGTTGGAAATATTCCACTACGTTGCCAAGATACATGTTTTGAGAGTGTTTTTTCTGTATCAACAAGTAGTGTATTGACACAAGACAAACCGTCATCTTAAAATAATTACCACCCAAAAAGAAAGATGTGTACTTTTGGTATACTTTGTGCATAGGCCCTGCAATTAGTCAGATCAGTATACCAGGGAGCTGCCTTACACACAGGCCCTTCTGAGAAACAACTGAGCATTATCTGGTCTGAATCATGGGGGAAGGGCTATTGTCTTCCCTAAACAGCCTGATTTGGCAATGGAAAACAGGAACTGGAGTGTTGGAAAGAGGGAGGTTAATGCATGAATGCAAGGGAAACATCTGCATCTCCACATGTTGAGGATTTTGCTGTCGGATGCAGGAGACTGCATTCTTCTGCCTGAAAACCACTGTGGGCCCTGCCTTATGGACATCCTCACTTGCTTTGGCGTGTGCTCACCTGTCCAAATACCTCATTGGGTAACCCAGGAAATGCGTTAGTGAAATAACTGTCGGGAAAGTGCCGCTTTGCAGAACCAAGCTTGAGGAGGCTGTCCTTTGATTGCATCCTGCTAAGAACTTGTTCAAATGGGGTAAACTTGCTCAAACATTCAGTCTGAAATAATGCTTTTTCTCTGGCTGCCACCCTGCCCACCCCTGCCCAATGTATGTATCGTAACGTAACAGAAATCAAGTTCTATCAGCCCTTCCCAAGCTATACCAATCATTGACATCCAGAACTATGGCAAAAGTGCAAGCTACCAATGAACGTATTTTCTAAAATTCCCTGCAGTTTTCTGTCTTTTTCGTAGCGCTTTGCTACAGCTGGCATAGTGATCTGCTAACCATGCATTTTGTGTGGTGCACAGTTATTGCTGAAAACAGAAGTACTTTTTTTCCTAAGTACTTGCTAAAACCCACAAGGTAAGATGGAAACTTCCTCTCCCATCATCTCTGTTTTAGTAATGTTGCTTTTGAGTAAATGAATGGCTCTCCCAGCATCAATATAGCAACCAGAAGTACATCTTGAAATCAGTGGAATGTGCTCCCACATAATATGTTTAGGATTAATTGTGAGTTGACTGATGAAACAATCAAGAACTAAGCATACATACTCAGAAGGAAGTCCTTGTGAGGTGGGTGAGAGATAACTCCTGGTAAATGATTTAGAGAAGTCATGTAGCCTTATTATATGCATGTTTCCTTAGAATTAACTCCTCATTTCTGCAAAGTGGCCTGCCTACCTACCGACTATGTGTGCAGAGGGCACATTTCCAGACATATCTGCTTGGAAGAAAATCCTATATAAAGCTACATGCCTTTCTTTTAAGAAAACTTGGTTGGGATTCAGCTGTTAGTCTGTTATGCTCTAGGAAATCTTTAATCCCATAGATTCACAAAATTACAAGTAGGAAATGGTTCAGTTTTTACTTACTTAGTTTGAAAATATCATGTTCCTAGCTCACATGATTTCCAGGGGAAATTTGTGCAAAGTACTCAGAAACTAAGTGGCTTTAGGTGGAGCTACTGTGCAGTTCTATTCTTCTCCTTGCTCCTTTTGCCTCTCACATAGGCCATGTCTGCACCTCTTCTTCTGTGCTGCTTTCATTAATTACACAAGATCTGAAATTGTGTGAATATATTCTGCATTGGAATCAGCGCACTGCATCAGAAGGCATCGTCTAAGTCGAGCAAATGTCAGTCAGTTAAAATATTTATGTACTTTACTGGGGAAGCAGAATTTTGGCTTCTGGCTGTGGGGTCCTGCTGCTATGGTGATAGACATTAGACAGTATCAGCTACTGCTGATGTGTTGCCCAGTTATATGCTGGTAGCTTGGCTAGGATGGGTGCATGGCTGCTGTTAGGATATCTTGTCCTGTATTGAATGAGAGTGTGATCCTCATCAAGTTTCGCCAGAAAGATGGCCTTCAGCCTCTAGCATGTCCCAGCCAGCTGGAGTGTCTTCTGTTTTAGCTTGCAGGGATTATGCCTTGAGCATTTGAACTGAGCATCTGGAAGTGATGTAGATCAAGAA